CACACACACACACACACACACACACACACACACACACACACACACACACACACACACACACACACACACACACACACACACACACACGGGCCTGTTTGTGCGCGTACAGCGCAGCAGTAGGCCGCCGATGGTAGCATTGGATCTGCGCATGCCGCAGCATTTGCTGTGTTTACTCCAAGAAGCGGCGCGCTGCATGCGCGTGCACCGGGGGTGGCGGCGCAGGCAAGGGCGGGCGTCCGGGCTGCGAGGCCTTTGAAAATGGCGTATGCAGAGGCCTGAAGCATGTGGTGACGGATGCGGACCGCGGGATGAAGCACGCGTGCGGGCCTACAGACGGAGGCTGGTGAAAGGATGGAGGCGCGACGCGGCGGCGGCTGAGTGCGCAGGTATGAGCACACCGGCGCACAGCGGGCCGCAGTCGGGTCAGAGCACCGATCGCTGCTCAGTGGTTTGACACACAAGTCGAGAGACGGCGCCAGAGTGTCGTGGGTGGGGAGCGCAGGTGACGAAAGACGTTCACAGGGGCAAGTTGCCACCGACAGCTCAGACCCCTGGCAAGCACCGCGACACCCAAAACACACGCAGCCAGGCCTGCACGCCCACGAAACCCGCTGTGGTGAAGGCTGTCATCCGATTGCGCCATCATGTGCGGTCAGCTGATTGCGCCATCAAGTGCTGTCAGCTGATTGCGCCATCAAGTGCGGTACGCTGATTGCGCCATCAAGTGCTGTCAGCTGATTGCGCCATCAAGTGCGGTACGCTGATTGCGCCATCAAGTGCTGTCAGCTGATTGCGCCATCATGTGCGGTCAGCTGATTGCGCCATCAAGTGCTGTCAGCTGATTGCGCCATCAAGTGCGGTCAGCTGATTGCGCCATCTACCCTGGCCAAGTGCACTTCAAACCAAACAACACGAGAGCAGCCGCAAAAACGAGGCCGAGCGCTGGGGAGCAGAACAGATCTAGGGCAGCCGCCGCGTCCCCGTGCACGGCGCCGCGGGCGCGCCGGGAGGCGCGGCGGATCGGAGCGTTTGCTGCAACGGGGTGCTTGACGGCGACGACCCACAAACGGCTGGAGGCCTGACGCGCCCCGGCCATCACCCCCGCGCGGACACCTCTTCCTTCTGCTCCCCCGCCACCGCGGCCGCGGGCGCTGCCGCCGCCGCTGCCTCGCGCCCCGCCTCGGCAGGCGG